ATCCTGGACCAGGGCTATTACTCGGAGCGAGACACGAGCAACGTGGTACGGCAGGTCCTGGAGGCCGTGGCCTACTTGCACTCACTCAAGATCGTGCACAGGAACCTCAAGGTAAGGCCAGAGCCAGAGCCAAAGGGTCAACTGGCAGCTGGGCTAAGGCTGGAGTGGGTAGTACCCTGGGGCCTTGGTCCAGCCTCTGAGGCCCTCATGATGTCTCTGCTTACCCACATGCTATTCCTGGCTGGTGTAGCTGGAGAACCTGGTTTATTACAACCGGCTGAAGAACTCAAAGATCGTCATCAGTGACTTTCACCTGGCTAAGCTAGAGAATGGCCTCATCAAGGAGCCCTGTGGGACCCCCGAGTATCTGGGCAAGCAGGGGTGGGGCAGGGTGGGGGGCAGCCTTCAGGGAGCCTCTGTGGGCAGAGGGAAAAAGTCCCCATCCTGGGAATTGGGTGTAGATGGTTCCAGATCTGGCCAGGCCTGATACTAACCAGCAGACGGACACTTTTGTAGCCCCAGAGGTGGTAGGCCGTCAGCGGTATGGACGCCCTGTGGACTGCTGGGCCATTGGAGTCATCATGTATATCCTGTGAGTGGATGGGCAGACAAGCAGGCTTGCAGTCAGGTGGGGTGGGGACCTGTGTCTGTGGCCTTCCTGTGTGACCCTGTCCCCATGTAGGCTTTCAGGCAACCCGCCCTTCTATGAGGAGGTGGAAGAAGATGATTACGAAAACCACGATAAGAATCTCTTCCGCAAGATCCTGGCTGGTGACTATGAGTTTGACTCTCCATACTGGGATGATATTTCACAGGCAGGTAAGGAGGTGCCCAGCATGTGGGTAGGGTGCAGGGTGGTGGGGAGGCTGGCACTGCTCTCAGCTCTTTCTGCTGGATTCAGCTCCTGCCCCCCAGCCCATTCATCACCTCTAGACATTGAGATGGGGCAGCCATGCCTACCTCCTCCCTGGCTTTGTCCCCAGCCAAAGACCTGGTCACAAGGCTGATGGAGGTGGAGCAAGACCAGCGGATCACTGCAGAAGAGGCCATCTCCCATGAATGGTGAGCAGGGCCCAGGGGTGGGTGGGAGAGGCCAGGGTTCTCCTGATCTCTTTCCCCTTCACACCTAGGAGCCCCCATCCTTGAGACTTTGAGTGGGTAGGGGAACTCAGAACTCACACCAGCCCAGAAGCTCTGCCTGGTAGTCCCCTGGATCCCCTGGGGTAGGGCAAGGCAGAGCCTCCACAAAGGCCCATATCCCCCCAATCCAGATGCACTTGCACCCTTTCCAGGATTTCTGGCAATGCTGCTTCTGATAAGAACATCAAGGATGGTGTCTGTGCCCAGATTGAAAAGAATTTTGCCAGGGCCAAGTGGAAGGTAAGACTTGGATAGCTCCTTTCTTGGCCTGATCCCAGAAGCTCTTTCCAACACTTACAGTTTCTTGCCTGCATCACACCCCTGCAGCCATACAGGTGCTTTTCTCAGGCCATCAGGTGTGGCTATAGCCACTGTTCTTACCTTAAGCAGGAGTGCTGAGCAGCTGGGTTCTTGGCCCTGTGGTGGTCAGAGGCAGCTAGGAGTACCAAGGAAGGGGCTGGATTTGGCCATTTCCAAACACTTGGTCCAGCAAGCCTCACCCTGAGCCTTTCTCCACTGTCCTCCTTTCAGAAGGCTGTCCGAGTGACCACCCTCATGAAACGGCTCCGGGCGCCAGAACAATCTAGCACGGCTGCAGCCCAGTCTGCCTCAGCCACAGACACTGCCACCCCTGGGGCTGCAGGTGGGGCCACTGCAGCTGCGAGTGGAGCTGCCCCAGCCTCTGAGAGCAGTGCTAGCCCAGCCACGGAGGGTGATGCTGCTTGTGCTGCAAAGAGTGATAATGTGGCCTCTGCAGACCGTAGTGCCACCCCAGCCACAGATGGCAGTGTCACCCCAGCCACCGATGGCAGTGTCACCCCAGCCACCGATGGGAGCATCACCCCAGCCACTGATGGGAGTGTCACCCCTGCCACTGACAGGAGTGCTACTCCAGCCACTGATGGGAGAGCCACACCAGCCACAGAAGACAGCACTGTGCCCACCGCCCAAAGCAGTGCCATACCAGCCACTAAGGGAGTTGCCACCCCTGAGCTGGCTATGGCCCAGCCGGACAGCACAGCCCCAGAGGGTACCACAGGCCAGGCTCCACCCTCTAGTAAAGGGGAAGAGGCTGCTGGTTATGCCCAGGAGTCTCAGAAGGAGAAGACCAGCTGAGTGGGCAGCCTGGTAGGGGGTGGGGGATGGGCAGGAGGGTGGGAGAATGGATGAGGGGCTTCTTACTGTACATAGAGTCACTGGCATGATACCCTCAGTCCCCCATGCCCCCGCATCCCAGTGAGGCACACCTGGGGGCCACGGGAGAGCAGTCTCGTCTCCTGTGTATATGTGTATGAGTGGTGGGCAGGCCAGAAGCAGGGCCAGCCCCAGCCCCTGCATGGATTCCTTGTGGCTTTTCTGTCTTTTGCTAGCTTCACCAGTTTCTGTTCTTGTGGGATGCTGCTCTAGGGATACTCAGTGGGCCTCTACTCTCCTTTCCCTTTCTCTTGTCTCACCATTCCCCCAGGCAGGCCCTGCAGGTCCCATAACCTCCCAGGCCGTAAACTTGGGCGGCCTTGCCCTGAGAGCTGGTCCTCCAGCGAGGCCCTGTCAGTGGTCTTAGGCTCTTGCACATGAAGATGGGTGTGCCTGTGGTGTGTGGGCTGCTCTAGGAGTGTATGCAGGCTCATATAGACGATGCAGAAATCTCGGGTAGTATGTTTAAGTCAAGACTGGTCACATGGGGGCACTGCTTGCTAGCTGTGGGGGTCCTCAGAAGTGGAAGAGAATGAGTAGGAAGGTAGAAGCTTCCATCTTTGTCCCTGGGAAGTCCCTCCTACAGTCCTGCCCTCCTGAGTCCTGCAGCAGGTTGCCATATACTCCGAACTTCACGAGCCTCTAAGGGAAAGGAGAAACAATTAAGATGTGGCAATGAGACCCGGGGGAGCAGAATACAGGCCCAGCACCCAGTGCTGTGACCTAGCTGGGCCCTTACCCTGGGCCAAATAGGAAGGGCTGATAGCCCCTTGCTCTTCCTAGATGCCCACTCCCCACAGACTCAGCACACAAGTACTTTCTATTACAGGGGCCTGCCACATGGCAATACCCCCATAGTCTGATTTGGGGGTTTGGTCTTTACAGGGGCAGATTTTCTGCTCTCAGTTCAACAATGAAATGGAGAGGAATCCCCTCTATTTCTACAGCTTACTTCTATCAGAGGCCCAGGTGCCTCTGAGCTATGTTTAGTTGCTTTTGCTGGGATGAGGAAGTAGAATAAGACTCCCCAGTTCCCTGAGGGAGGCTTCTGACAGGTGCCCTTTGTCAGACCTTACCATAGCCTGGACAGGCAGCCACACTGGTCCTCGCCCTTGCTCGGCACTCCGTGGTGGTCCTGCCCTTCTCCCTGCATGCCTGTGGGTCTGCGCTGGTGTGTGAAGGTTGGTGGGCTAACTGTGTGCCTGCTGAACCTGGTAAATAAACATCACCCTGCAAAGCCTCTGGCCACCCTCTTGCCTTTACTTCCTCTGTCCTACTGTGGAGGAGCCCCTGGAAGGCAGTGGGGAGGGGAAAGGCTGGGAGTAGGTTCACAGGTAGTGCTCAGTGCCCTGTGGATTTCGTGGGCTGAGAGTGTGAGAGTGAAGACCATCCACCCCACAGTGAATTCCTTGATGGTGGTGGTGGTGGTCCTTTGGACTCTAGAAATCCATGTACGTTTTGTGTCCTGGGCTGGGCCGAGAGCTCAATTAAGGGCTGCTGTTTTTACTCCTTTTGACCAAGAAACCTTTGTCCTGACTTGGGCATAGAGCTGGAACCCACCCAGGGCCAACCACCACAGGGAGAGATCTTGCTCATGGCCAAAGTAGGCTTCCCTGGGCTGGGGACAGGGTGCAGGGTGGGCATTGCATAAAGGTTCTATGCTGCTCTGTGTTGATTCCTTCTTCCTGTGAACACCTGTGCTTTCCACATAGGCCCAGAGTGAATTCCCATTCTGGGTCTACTTCAGCAGGAGCAGATCAGCTTTGTATTATGGGGCTCTGCCTAAGGTTTCTTCTGGGGAGAGGGCGTAACACTGCTACAAATACTAAGCGTGTAAAACCCCCAGAGAGACTAAGGTGGGCCTGGGTGAACTCACCAGGGATACTGCTCTTTCTCAGGGAGGACCTCACAGATAACGTCTCTGATACGGGAATAATAAAAAGGGTTTATTGGTCCCTGGTCTTTGAAGCATTTGGCCCTCCAAAATTCCAACCCTACTACAGTCCTGGGCATAACTGATCCTCATGGGAGATGAGAGCTAAAGTCAGGGTACTGGCCCTAGCGTCTCCAAACTCGATTGTCCTGTCTTTGTTGGATAAAGCAAGGTTGGCCTGGGGTGCCAGGGACCCCAGAGTTGGGACCTACGTGTCCATCTTTCCAGAATCACCCAGAGCCGAAGACTGAGAAAGTGTATTCTTTTAGTATTCTTTCAGTCTATGGGAACTATGCTGCCAACGAATGGTCTTGCACTGCCCAGAGCCCAGGGGGACTCGTTGTCCCATTCCCTTTCGATTGCGGTTATCTTGACTGTCCCCGAGTGCAGAAAAAGAACAGAGCTGAGGGTCCGGCCCGCCTCGCACCAGCTCTGGCTTGGAAACAACGCTCTGCCTTACCCTGGAAAAGGGCCCAGGCGGCAGCATCGCTGCTCCCAGTCTTGATGCAACGGAGGTGCCAGCCAATTCCTTCTAGGAAACGCCTGAGAGCTACTGCGCTCCGCCCCAGGATTCTCTACGGTCGCTGGGCCGCTAAGCCCAGCCCCTAGTCCCGCCCCCGAGGGTTTGCCCAATCCACACCAAGCATTCAGGCTCCTCCGCCGGTTTGGTGTGGTCATTTCCGGTCCTTTCCCGGAAGTCGCGCAGTGGGGCCAAATTTGAAGCGAGAGTTGGACCTGTTGCAGTTTCCTTGGCTACGTGGGTCCCGGGAGTCCAGACACCATGCCTATCCGTGCGCTGTGCACTATCTGCTCCGACTTCTTCGACCACTCCCGCGACGTGGCCGCCATCCACTGCGGCCACACCTTCCACCAGAAGTGGTGAGTGAACGCGGTGTCGGGACCCGGCGCTCGCCCCAGTACCACTTCGGGACTGTGGGGTGTCGGGCCTCCAGGCGATCTGTCCCCGGAACCCAGACAGGTGATGAGAACCTCGTTAGACGGAACCCCACGGTGCCGGGAGTTAGCTACTCTCCCAACAAAACGGGTCCCAGGCAGGATCGTCTCAAGAGATTTGGAAATAATAGAGACAAAGTGTAGTTTAAAGTGATGGGGAAGTCCAGCATTCCCTGAGCCAGGAGGCACTGAGTGAAGTCCCACATCAGTGTTTATTGGTACAGCAAGCAGTTGTTCTTGGTCATAGAATTATATGTACAGATTATTTGTTTAGGTTTCAAGGCTCCCCAAAGGTTTCAAGAGACCCTTACCTAATTCTACCTATGTGAGCAAACAATTACAAAATTTTTCTAAGATAAACTTCTTAAACCCTAAGTTAAGAATAGACCTGGCTGAGTATACAAGTTAAAGATAAAATTGTTAATTAAGCAGTAACGCATAAAACAGGAACGCTGAGCCTGCATACTTCTCTATATAACAAGACATGTGATCAGGAGTGAAATAGGAATAGCCTTGAAGTTTATGATAGTTCCAGCTGCAGGTTGTCTGCTGGGCTGACATCCCTTGATCAGATCTCTTAACCTTGGTCCCCATGCTGAGCTCTGTCTTGCACAAGCTCCAGGTGCTGGCTTGCAGTCGCCCTTGATCGGTTCAGGGGGCTCCCTTGTTGCTAAGTAGCTTCTAGTCTGTGAACTAATATTCCCACAGAGTCCCTCAAGGCAAAGGTCCTGCAAAGCTCCTGAAACTTTCCATGTCTCTTAACTCTGTTTCCCAACACCACGGGAGCTTCTCGACCTGGGCAGAATTGGGTTAGGGCAGGCTTTCTGGTGGAGGTGATAGCTGAGCTGAGCCCAGGAGACAAGAGTTGGTCCAGTGAAAATAGAGAAGATGCTTCCTTGATCATCTATTCAAAAAGATGTGACTTCAAAACTATTAGCCCGCTTGGGGTGAGCTTTCACCACATTAACGAGCCCTTTTATTTCTTCGAGATAGAAACCTGGTAGGCTTTTGGCTATGGGAGAGTGTTTGTTGTGCTTTGCTTGATGGTTTGGAATGGTTCTATCCAGAGTCATCTCATTGGCCAGACACCCAAGTGTGTTCACTGTGCCAGCAAACCCAGCTTAACATGGAAGGGCAAGGAGGTGCTCCCACATCCAGGGTTCTTGCTGACAGTGACAGTGTAGGACCATATTGTTGAGTGTACAGTTAGTGGGGAAAGATTCTCCTAGCAGCTGTGGACAGGCTGGTTTGGAGCTCCCAGCAAAAGAGATAAGGCAAAATGACCCCTAGGAATCGTGGGTGGTAATAGTCACAGGGGACTTCTGAGGCAAAAGGTCCCAGGAAGCAAAGAGCCAGGCACGGCCCTGACAGCTGCTGGGCACCCCTTACTTGTAAAGCTTTGTTTAGGCAGGTGTTGTTGATAGACTGAGCCTCATGCTGAGGGAGCATCACTATCTGTTAGGCTAGAAATCGAGCTCACCTTTAAGAGTACTGTATTTTCTGTTTGCATGTTCTTTTTCTTCTATCCTTTTACTTTAAACTTTTCTGTGTACTTATGTTTTACATGTATTTCTTGAAAACACCATTTAGTTGGACTTTTAAAATCCAGCTGATTTACTTAAAATTGTTGCAATTACTGATGAAAAGAAGATTAAATTTATCATATTTAGTGTTTTCTATTTTGCCCTGCCTATTATTTCTTATTCTCTGTTTTCTTGCTTTTGTTAGGACTGATTAAATATTCTATTTTTCCCTCAGTTAGTTTAGAAGTTATGTACCCCATTTCCATTCTTTCAGTGGTTATCCTAGAAAGTAAAATATGTATCCTTAAATTACCAAATTTAAGGTTAATCATCATCTTTCTCATTTTCCCAGGCAACTCAAAGAGCTTAAAATACTAACACCCTTTACCTACTTCTATGTTATTGTTGTTGAATACTTTAACTCTATTTTTTTTATGGTAAACACATTTGGGATTTTTTTTCCCCAT